AATGGTTTGCTGTGTGGGATGGGGAAGAAGTTATATCGTTTTAAACATAGTCAAAAATGCGAACTTCCCGACCGACACCGCAAAGTCGCCTCAGGGCTCATTAACCCCGTGACCCCGAGCCGGGGAGCTCCGGCGGGCTGCTGAGTCACGCGAACTAAAAGTAACAGAATCGGGCGAAAAGTGACGCCGTGTGAAAAGCTCAGCTAAATTATTGAAACCAAACTGTGATTGCAAGAGCCAGGGCTGCCTACCTCAAAGTTCCCATTTTAGGTAGATTCAGGATCAGTTTCAGGTATTTTGGCCCAAAATCAGGTAGTACAAAGACAAAGAAGGAAAAATAAAGATGATCATTGCCCCATTGAACGCCCTTGCTTTCCGTGATATTGGGTAATTATATCTTGAAAACTTGTTTGGGCATGCACATGTGTGTGTGTGTGTGTGTGTGTCTGTGTGTGCACGAGCACATGCTCTCACAAGCATTTATATATGTGGGGAGGGGAAGGGAGTGTTTGGGTGTGAACAAGTTAAGATGAACGCAGTGTATGAAATGAGGCGAGGTTTTTTAAAAAAAAGCATTTATGGACTATCGTTCAAGGCGCCTATCATTCAGTATTGAATCAGGAATAGAGAGCAGGGCGATTGCCAAACTGACTTCAAAACCCCTAGCCCATTCCAATAGGAACTATATTAAAATATATTTCCCGACACTAGCATAGGACACTGTTAACTCCTTTGTGACTTAGGTATTACAGACAATTAATTTTAACTAGTTTTACCCTAAATATACAAAATGAATCCTGATCTGGGCCTGAGGAGAGGCAAGAAGAACATCAACTGCCAAAACCATGTTTGGTTTCAGCAATCACGGAATTTAAAAAGTATGCAAGGCAAAACTTATTTATAAAACCTTTATAGTTCGGCTAACGACAGAGCAAAAGGTGAAAATACAAGAGAGTGTGTACTGAGAGCCGGAGCTGGGAGGACTGTGAGAGCGTGGGATGTAGTGATGCTGTAAACCTGGCAATGAAAGAATCACTGCGCCACGGATTAAGGACTGATTTTTTTCAAAATGCTAAATCACAGTACCAGTTTTTAATCAGCAACAAGCCATCATGATGCATAGGCATCCAACATAGAGCTTTCCGAGGGTTGAATATGGCATTTCCTCATTGCCACTATTCAATTTGTCATTACTGACAAATCCAGGATTACCAACCTTGAAGATACAACCATCAAACCGGTGCTCTAATGTTCCCTCATTTATGCACTCGATTGTCGAATGTCAAAACCACTTCCACTTATCATTTTTATCAGTTTCTTGCACTGCGGTCTTATCTTGCTGCCGCAGACTTTATTGTGTCAAACACCTCCTCAATTCTGAAGCCCTGCAACGCTCCTACTTTGAATGAACTTTGATTAGGCCTACCGGCCGGTCTCTTACTCATGCTGTACTCACACAATGCGAACTTCGAAAAGCATGAATCAAGGTGCCCCTGGACTACCTCCATTTCTTCAGGATGGCAAGAGCAAAACTAGTAACTTATCAAAAAAATATTTGGATAACACATTCTTCACGGATTATTCTAAGTGGGGAAGCTACTACAAGTCTATCCGACCAGGTAGAAAAGCGGATGATCCTGTAGTCAGGTGTTTGAAGTACACCCAAGGCATGAACATCCAGTTCAAGTTGCACCTCAGTAATGAATGGGCTGATGTTCTGAAGGCAGGAAACAGAAACATGAGGTTCATCCTACCACACCACTCTACACAGAACGTTTTAAGATCCAGCACTCCAAGTACAATCACCTGCTGGAGCCAAATCTGTTATTGTGTGGACATGAAAGGTGTTGAGCCCCCCAAAAAAAATTGATAAAAATTCCTAAGCCTGCAGAAAAATACCAGTTTCTTGACTTCCCATTACTTTGACGAGCGCCTGATTTCACCACGCAGCCTCACATTTTAAGACAACAACACATTAAATCAAAAGATATTAAAGTAAAGCATCATATATTATAAAGCTAAAGCTTAAGCCTTGTACTGAGTGGCACAAGGAATGTGTACAAGAGCTTCTAAAAACTTTAATAAGCATGTAAAACAAATCAAATGCCCCCTCTACCCATCAATCTGCTCGAACTAATAATACAGACCTGTTTATTCAAAACTCTGAGAAGTCCGGGAGTGAGGCCACTGTCAATCTTTTGGGTTGCAACTGGCATTTCCAGTCTTTCTTTAATGGGAGGCATTTCACCCTTTGACATAGCTCGGAAATACCTGAAATAAACAAACATGCCCTCATAAACTGAAAGAATTTTACAACATTAAAGACAGATCAATAAAAATATGATAGGTATGGGGGATGAAGCCATTACTGCAACACAATAGCAATGGCACCACAACCAAATGTCATAAATAGCGGCAGAGCAAAGAAACAGCAATATGAATTATCCTGATTTCACTGAAACCATATGCTCAGGAGGCTGTGAGTCAGCATACGTACCGTGTTTTCACTACCTACCTAAAGAAGAAGAGGGTAGAGGAAAAAAAATTCAAATCCATCTATACAAATATTTTTTATTTTACTTTTGCGAGTGTGCTACTATAGAAACTGACTGTTTCGTGACAATGCCATCTACCAAAACCTCTCCCAAAAAACAATGCCATAAAATCATGACATTTCCGCTGATTCCAAAATATTTATAAATAATGAAATAACTCTGCCAGTAATGGACCTCCAATAAGTGACTAACTTCAAAGAACATGTGAAAGTTCAGGATTCTATCCAGAAAGTGGCCCAAATTTTTCTCCCCATTTCAGAATATTTTTTCCTGATCTGATGTTCAATGGGTTAAAAAATATAGCATATGTTTCCAGTACAAAACCCTGCTTAAGGAGAACCGGCAAAAAACTTACCATGTACTCATCAGACAAAAAAATAAAAAACATGTACAAAAATGACTTACGCAGATGACCATGCTAACACATCCTTTGGTTGAGTCCTGATGGCAGCTTTAGTGAACTGTTTGAGGATATCTGGCAGTTCTGGGGGAATATTTATCTGCTGGGAGCAGTAATAGGGCTCATCCATTTTTGCAGCTGCTGTCGGCATGATTATGGTTGTTACCTGAGATGGAATCAAAACCACATGAAGCGCATGAAGAGAGAGGCCTTCATAGTCAACAAAAATGGACTTAAGTATGAATTTAAGGGCCAATTGAACTTAAAAAAAAAGAAAACAGGAGATAACTTCAAGGTGAATAAATATTTTACATAAGCAAGCCTGTTCTTTCTTATATCTGGGGAGGGGGGGGGGGGCTCTCGTGGCCTAGAGGTTCAGGGGTTTGCCTCTCATTCAATTGGTCCCTGGTTCGAATCCGGACAGCAACAGAAATTTTTCTTCTCTAAAATTGTCTCCTTTCACGACTTAATCACAAGATACGGCATTGTGTGAGCACCGAAATTTGAATGGGGGGAATTATAGATTTTTTTATATTTTTAAGAAACACTCTTGGTAGGGGAGGGGGGGGGGGGAATGTATGAAAACATCCAGTCAGAGTTGTCTGAAGTCTCCTTCAAACTTGAGTCAGACACTGCTCAGTTTGACCATTGTGTCCATTTTGTCATGGCTAGTACAAACACACTCACATCAATGATAACCAAACCTCAGTAGTGTCTGAAAAAGCTGCATAAGGTCATATATGAGCGTGTGGGACACATTAAACATTTTCAGTCGGTAGGAAATTTTGAATTTTGCCTTGGTGGCAGCTGAAGCCTACTCTTATTGATTTTTTAACCACCAAGGGATCTTTAACGTGCACAACTTGAACACGGGACCTCCAAGATTTTTTGCCCTTGTCCAAGAAGGCTTGGTGTAGATCTTTTCAATCATAAGATCAGGGGTGTGGCTGAAAGACAGCAAGCAGTAAGAAAGAGCCAATTAGTAGCAGTCGAAAAGCTGCAGCAAGAGTCAGGAGCCCAGTGGAGGTGGCAAAGGAGATGACGGGGTAGGGGCAGAAAGTGGAGACTGTTTGAGCGCCTTATCATAGGCCAGGTCAAGATATATACTCTCAAAACAGAAATTGATAATTCTCGAAGTGCTTAAGACGGAAATGGACATGTTTAAAAATTTTATTTAATGGAGAAAAAGGATGCATCACTTTTATTGTGGAACAATTAAAAACAAAAAATTATAAAGAAGAATTTAAAGTTATAAATATACATGTGCCATGTGCACTCTTCAACAACCGCTGATGTACCCTGTAAATTTTGAAGTCATATGGTTGGGTGGTTTTGGGGTTTTAGGCAACTGAAAATTTCCAAGTGGGCCCCCCTACGCAAATGTGAGGCGTGCTGACAAAATGAGTTACTTCTCGCAATCTACAAATGGATTTACCGGCTAAAAATCGACATTAGGGTCAAATTTGTATATTTTCTATCGATGCCATATTCTTTAATTATGTCCTGTCTTTTATTGTTTCATACTTATAAATTGTAAAACCTTCACCTGTAAGCGTGATGTATCTATTTCCCTAAGGTTTGAATCCGAAAAATAATTCATTTTGTCAGCTCGCTTCACAGTATATAGTGTGTCCACAAAATCTTGACATTGCACTGTGGCCTGTTTTTTCTCTATTTTATGGTAGTTTCAAAACACAACAAGTGTGCATCAGTAGATGTGTTCACATTGTAACAAAGCACAACCATGGGAAATAAACACAATAAAATAGTGAAAAATAGGTCACAATGCAATGTAGGACTTTATGGATGCACTGTATAGGGTAGAGTCATCAAAGTTCGGCCGGTGTTGTAGAAATCGGACATGCCCAATTAGACTGACTTTCAAGCACACATAGATAAACAGGAAAACGTTTTCAAAGATGCTGCTGGTTTGATCTCTTTTCGGAATATTTCGTTTCGTTAACACAGTGGTTTTCAATCGGTTTTTAAATGTGAATTCTTTCGGCAACGAGGAGAAATTAAAACTTTCCCCCGCCCCTTGCCTATTTTTGTCCGAAACAGACGCAGTTTCTGGTCTAGGTAAGTTTTCACATGTTCCTCCTAAAAAACGATGAGTAAGCTCTGTGTTAATCACAAGACAAAACTAGTTCTAGAGTAAAATAGTAGAGGGTTTTTAGCTGTCAATGTAATTTTTTTAAAATGTTATCATGGTAACAAATTAGCAATGTCAATGAAAATTTAATTTTTAGCTTTATCCTTTTTTTTATTTGGTACCTAAGAAAGAGTTTTCAATTCTAATAATTATTCTTTTTGAATTTTAAGAATCGGTCAATAAATAAAAAAGTTGTAAGGGTCAGTAAAATATGGATGACCCTCATATGTTGGAAAATACTCTAGACCACGCAGTAGCACATGCTCGACGATATGTCAGTAATTAATTGGAGTGTAGAGAGAAACTTGGCTAACCAAAGTGTGTTTGGGTGGAGAAATCATTTCTGCAGTCAGATTTACTAACCATTTCGTAGTTATTTTGTTATTATTAAAATGTTGGTGTACATATTTCGATTTTACGAAAAAGGGGTGTCAGGATGACAGCATTTTATTTTTATAGCATTGTATCACAACATGGGATCTTTAAGAATATGTTGGCAGAGTGGTTTAATAATGGCAAAGCTTTCTTTGATGACTTTAGACCATGCCAACCGTATAATAATAATATAATTTAATTCGATCTAGCATACCGTTCAATTAAAATCCCATTTTTTCCTGTTGAGACGCGAACACCTCGTGGCGAGATAAGCTCGCCTCGGAATACCCTCATTGCGATGTTTTACAAGGTAACAGAGAGAAAAACAACCGGACGCACGCACCCGCCATTGGCCTATTTCAAGCGACCAACAAACGGACTCGGAATAGTCATGTGGGGATTTGTAGGTCACACACATTTGCAAAAGGAGTGAGGGGGAAAATGGCCGGTCTTTGTGCGAAGCCGCTTTGAACAGGGGGGTAGTCGTGCATTTATGATAAATTCTGCCCAACTACTTGACACAGAAAGTTCAAATTTGAACACACCATAGAGGAAAGATGGATCTCTTACCATCTCAGCGTCGAATATCAAACTCCAGGTTTCAGTGTACCCGATACGAAAGTGTTTCCGACACTAAAAGTAGGTTAATTTATGAGTACGAACTTCGACTTCTACATATAATTAGTTTGCCTTATTTTCTGATAGGTTCCAAAGTTTCATTCACATTGGTTTAGAAATAGCGCAGAACGAGCTAGAGAAAGTTAGTTACTATCATTCCGACGAGGTCAAAAAATTCGCCCGATGGCCATTGCTAAACAAATGTGTTTTTTATGGTCTAGAATATGTGCGAACTTCCCTATCTTCCTTTTTTATATGATGTGTGGGGAAGTTCGGCATAGCTGAGAAGTGTAAGTTCGGACAGCCTGTTGAGGGAACATGCATAGGCGTAGACTAGGGTCTTTCAAGGAGGGTGGTGTGTGTGTTTACGGGTCTTTCTCAAGGCACAATTTGAAAGTGGGTATTTTTCTCTGCTTTTTCAGATTGAATGAGAAATTAGATCTTAATCTAGGTTCAGCCTTAACTCTCTTTTTAACAATATTTCTCCTCATTTAGACTCCACATCTCTCATTTTCATCCTATTTTAATAAAAAGAGAACACATGTAATTCTAAAAGTGATGTTGTGTGTTTTTCACCCTCATCCTTTTCTATTTATGTGTGCTTCTATATTATTTACTTTTTGCTGCCTCTGTTGTTTTCTTTCGAATTAAGAAATCCCGATCGTAAATAGGATTCATTTTCTATACTAATTTATCACATATTTATACTAGGACAGACGTAAATACATAGATCTTGGTCCAATTCCTTATTACACTTGTTGCCTACTTGTGTAAATCAGAAACTCAAACAAACGAACAGGGAAAGTGTTAGGCCTAGGCTAGGGCCCGGGCCTTGTCTACGCCTATGACACACACTGCCAAAATAACACACCCCTGCTGAACAAACACCATCCACTATGCCGAAAGTTAGATGCCCCCCCCCCCCCTGTCAAAGTTGAACATCTGGGCAGGAATTTGGGCGCTTTTTCTGTAGTTCCCACCCCGCAATTGTTATTCGCTGGTTTTGGCCCCAAGAGTAGGGGGGTTTCAGGGGGGCTTGCCCCCCTGACCGAATAAAAATATGGTGGGGGGTTTCAGGGGGGCATGCCCCCCTGAATTTTACCACAATTTAATGTTTTGCAGTTGTTAGGTTTGATATTTTAGCTTGCCGCAAATCAAACGTATAGATCTAGATCTAGATGTAGGTCAGGCTCAAATAAGGGGGGTGGGAACTACCGAAAAAGCAGCGGAATTTGCACCATGGTTTTTTAATTTACATATTTGGGACAACCAGTCGAAAGAAAGACTTTCTGGAACTCTTTCACAGAAAAAAAAAATAGATTACGCTTAGCCAATGGCGAAAACCGTTTCATAATATCTCAAACGAGAAGCCAATGGCAAAACTTGTAAGTTGGGGTTACTGACTACTGAAACCTACACTGCCGAACTTCGACTACTTTACCCTAGATATCTAGATTGACGCAGAGAAAAATAAATGAACAAGTCTGCCACCTTCTAAATTCTAAACACAATTCCAGAATTGTTACAACAGATAAAAACAAGAAAGTAGAAAGTTACAGTATTTCGGACACATAAAATGCCATTGCTTAATCTTCAGGACTGTATACTAGAGACTAGAGTGTAAAGTGGATGGAACAAGACTGAGAGACACATGAATATATAATGAAGATAGAGGGCCCAAATTGGGGTCTATGACTATGGCATGGGAGCCATGGTGGTTAGGTGCTCCCTAATTGAGGACCCCCTAGACACTGCGACTATATAGTCCACAACTGGGGACTACCTAGACACCATGACTACGTAGTCCCCAATTGGGGTCTACCTAGACACTTTAAAAAAAAGGAAATAAATGACTCACCACGTCTTAATCATAATCTAGAATCTATGTCGTCTTTAATTCTTAGTTCAGTTTGTGCCATACAGAAACACCAGCTTCACTCACATAAACGATAAAAAAACAGAAGCACCTCTAGATCTATAGTCGTAAAAGAAGTCAAGCTGTACATACTTACACTGCTATACTTACAGGAGCAACTTATTTTATTTCGGGACCGTCAAATGATTGGTATCGACCAGGCGTGATCAACGGTTTGTTGATGGCAACCAACAAAGAAAGGTATAAAACTAAAAACTCGGACTTCCTATCTAGAGGTAGCCTACCAGCACTTATAAAAATTACTTTACAAAAGAAACGAGCTAAGAGTTTTTCTCAATTTCACTTACACGTACTTGTATACCTTAGTTTGAGTACACAATTATTATTTGTTAGATTTTAAAGTGACATAATATAGATATCTTGATCTAATATGTAAATCCAAAATAGCTAAATAATGTAATCGCGTGAGAAAGTCCTCCTGCCGAAATGAATGCCAGTTTGGCATTGCTGTCATTGAAGCAAATTATTTACATCGTTTTTTGTCTCCTATTTTTAAAAAAAGTTATTATCGCCTAAACTGGAACTATTTTCAAAGGAAAAATACGAACAAGTTAATGAGAACTAGATTTTACTTCTAGAGTTAAAAATTGATTCTATCAATATGCCATGCCCCGGACTTAAATTCAGTATTTGCTTTGTAATGCTCAAAAGCTCAGCCCTACTTGTGTGTGTCGTCTGCTACCTTCATTCATGATTCAAGTCGGTCACTGTGAGTAACTGCAGTCTGCGAGTCAAGGCGGTAACATCTGGAGTCTGGATCTAGCCTAGGCCTATAGATCTAAATCTAATTTCATCTCTTTTTCGTCGTTTGTTCAAAAAGCGTAGATCTAGAATCTAGATCTAGATCTAGATCTCTAGATTAGATCTAAGTAGATAATCTACCTCGTCAACAGATCATCTCGCAGAATGGCAACACTGCAAGCTCAGAGACCACAAGTGAAAAATGTACGTGCGTTTTAAGATCTTTCGATGTTAGTGTTTTACTTTTAACTTACTTTTTCATCCTATGTTGCCGTAAAGCGTCGAGGGGAGATGCAGTTTTCTTATGAATTTTAACGTAGAATCTCTAGATTCTAGATTCTAGATCTACATCATACACAAATCGTAAATGAGATGAGTGGTCAGTCACTGTTTACCCAGTCTGAAACAAAGGACGTCAACATGAACTTGTGACAGAAGGCGTCGCTCGTTCCCCAAGTGGTGACGACCCATGTGTTTGTTTTAACATGGCAATCGGTCTTCCTCGTCTGATGCATTTTGTTTTATTGTCACCCTTGTGCAAAACAGCAACAAAATAAAAGTTACAAACAAAATACAATTAGAATCTAGATTCTAGATCTAGAATCTACCACCACCACCACCAACAACAACAATCACAACATCAACTACAACAATGCGGCTACTTTTGATTGGGACCACACATGGGAATGGTTTGTTGTCTTCATCTTGATCAGTCCTGCCTAAGACGGCCACCTGTCTTATACGGCCACTTTTCTCCTTGACAATGGGTGGCCGTCTTAACACAGGTTTGACTATACATGTAACATGAATAGTCTCTTTGATAGTAAAGCCATCTGCTTTACTTCCCTTTATCGTTATCATTATTTTGTTGTTCTCCAACCAATGTTGAGACATATGGAACATCTATCTGATACTTGTTTGGCTGATTTTTTAATTTAAAAAAAAAAAATTTTCTTCGCTTGTTTGTTTTTTGTTCTGTTATCTGTTGTTGTATTAATAAACTCAGGAATTGCTTCAGCTTTGGATGGCAATGATGGCATTGAAGCTTTATCCGGGCCTAGGCCTGCCTACCCCGAATCGAGGAAGTGGACTCAACCAATCCGCTAAGGGCCATCAAATCCTAGCAAGTAATAGGGGTGGTACTGCCTACCCCTTATCGAGGAAATGGACTCAACCGATTCGCCTAGGACGAGCAAGTCCTAGCAAGTAGTAGGAGTGGTAGATGTATTTGAATTAAAGCAACCAACAGAAAACACTAAATTTATTAGAAACATACCAGTTTTTAGCATAATTTCTTCAGACGTTGGTTCACTGAGTCTAGAGATCTAGATCTATATACTCAAAGTTTGCAATCTGCGTTTAAATAATTTTGTCTTTTGATTGAGGGATATTTTGCTAAGTCATGACTTGGACTTGCTCAGATCTAAATACTTGGTCTCAAACACTATTTGGTGGGCACGAGAATTTCAAGTCTCAAGTCCAAGTCCAAGTCCTGCCCAGGCCTACACGGCATACCGACACGTACGTCAGACTAGCAGTTTGCACGCATTCGGCCTAAAATTGGACAACCAGACAATTATTAATTATATGATAACCTGGAATGCTGTCTGCTATAAAATTCCGTTCAATATTGTTTTGTTTTCAAGTTCTACAATTTTGAGCAGAATCAGACACATGTGTGAGCAGAAATAATCCATTTCATCACAGATGGTATCACAGAGGATGTACAGGTAAAGACAGAAAAGATACTGGCGATTAGAGAGGAGACCAGCGAATTCCACTTTGTTGTGTGTACGATGTGCGGGTGTTTGTAGTGTGAGACCTTGTTGTACGCATGGTTGTTCTTGAGTTTGTACATTAACTTTTTTTTTTCTGTTCTCCCAGGGACATGGCCTTTTTCTCTTGCAAGCCTGTGTTGCTAGTACTAATAAATTGGTTTAACATAAACATGAACTTGTGTCTTGTTTACTGGCCTATCTTGTATGAAAAATGTATGGCAGTCGTCTTTAGTGAAGGAAATATTCTGCCAATTTTTGGAAAGAGTCTTTCAAGCTAGCTTGGTATGTTGGAATCGAACCCCAAATTGATCAATGCCCTGGCAATAAGGCCAATTGAGCCTAATAAGTTTATTTATCAAAGGAAAAAACAAAGTGAAATATAGTGTTTTTTAACATCCATGAAGGGCGGCCAGTTTGGCCAAGATGGGTGGCTGGTTGTGACCTTAAAGTTAAAAAAGTGGCTGGTTTTACCAAAGTGTCACCAAGATAATTTTATGTGCAGAATATGGATAAGACTAGTATGCAAAATCTGCCGGTTCACCCGAAACCAGCCACATGCGGCTTACATTTTACGACATCCCTTTCCATTGATCTACCGGCTGATTAAGCTTCATCCGTGGGTGCCTCAGAGAAATGAAGACTGCTGGCCAGAAATAAATTCAATATTATGATGAACATCTAGATCTAGTCATGTTTTGAAAGAGTCTGACTATTCAGGCTGGGAAAGAGGGTGAAAGAGATATTATTTATGGAAAGTAAGGAAGCTTATAAATTTTTTCCCCTCCTTTATACTGCTTTTGTCAATTTTTATCATAAAATCTTGAAGGAAACCCGGTTTATTTTATTCATACGGTTAGTTGAGTGGCTCTGAAGTAAATCATGAGGCTCAAAGTTGTCATCGACTTGAATTTTATTGAAATTCCCTGCAAGCATATGAAATTGTTTTGAAATCTCTAGTCGGCTTAATAGACAACAAATCCTTATATATATATATAATGTATGTAGTGTCTATAAAATTTTAATATTATGTTATATTTTGCTTTCAGTGGGAAACTATATTTCCAAATGAGCAAGTTACAGAGCAGAGGTCTGCACTTTTTGTAAAAAAACTTCTTGCTGTTGCAATATCCAATATCACTTACTTGAGAAATATATTTCCTGAACATGCGTTCGGTGACAAGTACCTAGAAGGTGAGTGTACTTCGCTACGTTTTATAAAATTTCAGTTTGTCATTGCAAGTGGTAAAAAAAAAGAAAAGAAAGAATCATTAGTAGTAGCCCCTTGGTAAAAACCAAGTACGGGCCTACTGTTGAACTTGTGATCTTACGATCATTCATGTTATTGTTATGTTTTGGTAATTAGTTGTGGATTGTTTTGTAAATTCCAATAAAGCAGGAAAGATTACTCTCACTACCTCCCTCTCTGATCAGCTGTTTGGCCGTTGTCTGCTAATTTTGTCCCCTCATCATGGCAAGTCAAGTCAGATCTAGTACCCATTCAACACCTACCATGGATAGGGAGAACAAGGAGTTCTGCTGAATGCAGTTACGTGCATAGCTTTGATTTGAAACAATGGAGAATGGTGGATAAGAAACATGTTGAAGTAAATAGGCTTTATTTATATCCAACACAGCATATGTGAGGCACCGTGGTGAAATCAGGGGCTCATCAAAATAGTGAAATTGAAGAAACTGGCATTTTCTCACCAGTTTGGTAATTTTTATCAAATTTTCGTATTTTTACCCCCAGTTAATGTCCATTCAAAAACACATTTCTATATAGGTTTTACTGAAAATTGTTGATTAAAAGCACAAAAAATGTAAAATTTCACTCTTAATGAACTCTCAAGCTATGAAAATCACCAAACTTTGGCGGCCATTTTCTCACTAATTTTACCTCTGAAACCTGCTAACCCAACGTCCTTCAATGGCTAATATCTTGACTTCTGTTCAAGATAGATGGGTACTTTTAACATCAAAAGAAAGACAATTAATGGACAATTGTTATGATGGTACCAATAACTCTACATGCCCCAAAATTGACCAGCGCCTGAATCCATTGCGTCGTGACACATGTTACTTGTGGCTCCCATTTGCTTTTTTCAGACTTGAATCTGAAGATACTGAGGAATGAGAGCATGTGCCCTGGTGCCTGTCAGGTCATCAAGTGGGTCAAGGGCTGCTTTGATGCACTTGACAAGAAATATGTAAGCATTTGAAACTTGTTAACTTCTCCTTTTAGTCTCTAGTATCTATATTATGGCCTTTTGCGAAAGTAGTCTCCAACTATACGCACACCATACAAAAGCACGCTCTGCCCAAAAGCACTCTTTTGTCATATGACGGGTTTTTTTACTATATAACTTAGATGTTCAAACGCACGGTCACTCGCTCCAAACGCCCGCTCCGATCCGCGAAACACGCCGACAATTAAGCTTGACAATTGGAAATTTTCACTGCAGCCTTCACAGCTTTCATTTATTCGAGTAATAAATAAGGCAAGCCTAGAAAACAGGATATTGGGTGAGACTGTCCGTCACGCCGAACAAAGAGGGTGACGGACTTCGTTTTCACACCCAACTTTCCACAGACACATAGGTCTATAGGACTGGTCGTTGAAATGTTGGGGAACTGAAAGGGAAATGTGTTTTGATTGGTCACTGCATCATTGAGAGAAGGTTTCTGGCTACAATGTAATGTTTAGTTGGAACTAGGTCTTTGATGCGCAGGGCGCGTGCTTGCTGTAAAACACAAGACAGGCCTCTATAGGATTAAAGATTAGTCAAGTAAGCCTAATCAGCTGCGCTCGAAGAACTACGTACTTGTTCAACGAATCACAAGAAAAATGTTTCTTTGAATTAAGAGATCTATGATTCTGATGTCAATGAATTTAAGGTCGGGGGTGGTCACTTGGAATGCCATGTGGCTGCGCCGTTATCTGTATGACTATCACCAACAGTTTCCTCTTAGGCTACCGTATCTGTTCCCAAAATTTTATGAATATCATTAGCATTCATTGAGTCTGTCTTTCTGCACCCTCCACCCCAACCCATTCAAAGCCTTTGTATTCTTAACCGTAGTCAGGGAATCCTTCACAAAGCAGTCACGTGTCGTCACATTATCAGTCAAAGTGACCCCCACCCCCAAGGGGGATCACTAGAATATCAAGGCAATGAGATAACTGCGTCCCTTCCTCCCTTTGCACAGGTCACTGAATTCATGTAAACGCACGCTCCGTATAAACACACCTAGAGCCCTCCCAAGCACTGTGCGTTCAGGCGGAGACTCCTGTTCAATAATCGTTGTCCTGTGGCTTAAAAGTTTTATGAACACATCGTATCAGGTGAAACCATAGTTTTCGTCTGTCTTCCTCCAGAAATGTAACACGCCAGTGTGAAGTATATTATCAGCCGTACAACAGTGGAAAGTTTCAATGACTTGTTAATAAAATGCACGCGTACTTGTAATACATATGCTTGCTAGTAGGCCTACTCATTAGTAAATCAGACACGCAGACGGGGTTCCTTCAGCTTTTGCTATTTACTGATAAATAAAATGGACTTTTTAAATTAACAAGTTTAAAACTGTTAATCAGTTATTATAGCAAAGTCAGCTGTGTTTGTAGAAAACTGCAAAATTTTCAATTAAATGTTTAGCAAAAGAAAATTTGTAGAAATTGCCATTTGGTCGTTTCAGTGCGAGATTCAGGTGATGTGGATCTAAGCAGATTCGATGCTTCCCCAACTTCTTCTTGGAGTAGGCGAGGCTTGATACCCGTTCCGTTGGCTCTGTTACCTTTCTGATCACACCACTTCCCACCATGCTGTCAAGCTCTTCTTTGATCGCGTCTCTGAGAGTAATCAGTGTTTTCCTTGGTGTGTTGATGTGTGGCAGGACGTCTGAATCCCCCACTAGCTTGACGAGGCTAGGCGTCTTACAGATTCTGTCGAACTGTTCTGGATACTCTTTCATCAGGTCCTGGAAGCAAATAATTTTGTCTTTGGCGGATGAGGGTGACGTTAAGATGCTGCAGTGTAGTGTCACTGCTTTCGACTTTTCGCGTGACGGCAGTCCAATAATGGCAGGTCCTTCTACGTCTGTGATGTAGAATCCTGTTTCCTGCCGCTCGCTTCTGTAGCAACAGGGAAAAACTATCTTGCCAAGGCAGGGAATGTCTGTGCTGTTGTAGGCAGTCAGCCTTGTGCTGCCTTTCTCTTTTAAGATCTGTTTGGTGGGGATCCCCTCCGTTGTCAGCTGCTCAGGGAATATGTCCCTAAACATGCGTAGGGGCAGCGTGTTCCCCTGTGTGCCTGTGTCGACCTTGACAATGATGTTGTGTTGCCCAGCTCTGTTTGGAAGTTGTATTCTGAGCTTGACGAATGCTCCGTCGCGTTGTTGGGGCAATAAAGAAACTGAAGAGACGGTGACTGGGCTGAATATTAGGTCGTCAAAGTTCTCTTTGTTGATTTCAGCCTGCATAGCTTTGATTTTCGCTTCTAGCGTCTTCCGCTAATGTCCTCCAATTCGGCTGCCTGATCCGCCACGTCGTTGCCCGCGTCCATGTGAAGGGATGCATGAAGATTGGTGCGCCCCAGAATGGCAAACTTTGGCGAAGTGGTTAATTTTGCCGCAGGTATGGCAGGTAATACCATGGGCTGGGCATTCCCGTGGTTTTTACTGCCCGCCACAGTTTCTGCAAGGAGGATGAGTGCTGGATTTGATGGCACTGATGCTGGCAGAGTCGGCCCATTGTTTGTAGCTGCTCTACATGTAATGCAGTAGCCTCGAATGTACGACCCATCTTTATCACATCGGCCAACTTGACACCTTTTTGCTGTTCAAGAAGTTTCCTTTGGAAGTCTCTGATGGGTGTGCCTGAAATGATTAACTCAATCAGTCTCTCTTCCAGTTCTACCACATTGTCAAATGTATACTTCTGTGCCTGGAGCTGCGCCCTTGTCACGAAATCGTCTAGTGACTCTCATTTGACCTGCCTCATGCTCATGAGTTAGAGTAGCTACTCACACGAAAGTGTTCAGCCAGCTCAATTTGTTCGCCCAGTTTTTGGAATACAATATCTGGATCTTTCTTTTCAGCGTCTGTGAGTGTCATGGCGTTGAACATCCAAAGGCCTTTTTCACCAATTTGGAGGAGTATGAAGGCGACCTGGTCGTCCTTATGCACCTTCTTTGTTGCAAAATAAAGTTCAAGTCTTTGTTTGAACATTTTGAAGGAATCTGCGACATTTTCGTTTTCCTACATCATTCGGGAATCTGCTTTGGGGACATTTTGACAGTTAATGACCTCTAGATTTGTAAAGTTACCTGGCGGTCCGATGAGTCGGGTCTGTCAGGGGGCCCCCGTCCAAGATAAGTGTTGCCTCGTCGTGGTCCTGAGTCCGACTGAATATCTCAGTGAGTCTCTCAGACAATCTCCGCCTATTTCCCGCGGAACCCTTGACGTCATCCAAGGGCATGCCACTCCCTTAATTATCTTGTCCCCACAGTAAAGATAAGAGTCATGTCCCTTGACATCACAAAGCGGAGATCGTCTGAGAGACTCACTGAGATATTCATTCGGACTCAGGACCACACTTATCTTGGACGGGGGCTCCCTGACAGACCCGACTCATCGGACCGCCAGGTAACTTAACATGGTGTCAGAAGTGGCTACTGAACAGCCAACTACTTCAAGAAAACACCCAAATTCAATGAAGTGCCAGAGTTTATCTATCAGAACAGTGCTGTGTGAGAGTAGAGGTCTAGACTAGTTAGGTTTAGGCAGTTAACTGTTTGAAAACGGGAAGGATTTTAGATTTAGGTCTAGATTCTGGAGCTAGAAACTAGAGATCTGGATAGAAGTAGATTATCTAGATGTGGTAATAGGCCTGGATTAACTAGAATCTAGATGTTTTGAACTATGAACAGTGTTGAGTTGGAACTTGTTTGTTTGTTTGGGTCTGGAGATTCTAGATTTGTAGACTTAGAGTCTTTTATTTGAGTAGATCTATTCTGGATTTTTAGTTCCACAACAAGTGAACAGAAGTGGCACAACATAACAGGGAACACCAGCAGAAGCAATACACAGCCAACGTACCCCTTCCATCAAAATTAAACGTAACAGATGGCACAAACCTAGCACAAGGGTGGAAAAAGTTTAAGAGAAACTTTGAAAATTATGCGATCGCCACCAGATTAAACAAGGAAGAAGAAGATTTCCAATGTGCAGTGTTTCTAGCGACAATTGGAGAAGATGCTGTAGACATTTTCGAAGGTTTCCACTTCGAGGACGAGGCAGATAAGAAAAATCTCCAAAGCGTCATACAAGCTTTTGACGACTTTTGCATAGGAAAGACACATGAAGCCTACGAGTCTTACAAGTTTCACATGAGGAAACAAAAACAAGACGAAACAATAGAGGCCTACATTGCACAACTTTGTCAGCTAGCCAAGTCCTGCAACTTCGGAGACACACAGTTGCAAGACTGCTTAATAAGAGATCAGGTGGTGATAGGAGTGAGAGAAGAAAGCTTAAGAGAAAAGTTTTTGAAAGACAAAAATCTCACCCTAACAAGGTGTCTAGATATAGGACGAGCATATGAGTCATCTAGGACACAGTCGCATACAATGAGCCAAAGTACTGGAAACGAAGTTTCAGAAGTAAACAGGTTACAGAAAGGAAAGTTTTACAGGCAAAGTCAAAGTCAAGGTCAGGGCCCCAAGCAAAAATTCCAAAGAAAAGAAAACATAGGTAAAAAATGTCACAGATGTGGAAGAGGTCCACGCGATAAACAAGGATGTCCTGCCAAACATGCGGAATGCTACACATGCAAAAAGAGAGGACACTTCTCCACAGCTTGTAGAAACAAAGACAAGAAGTAGGTAAGACAAGTTGAAAACATGTTCCTTGGAACACTACAGCTGGAAAACGAATATGGTGTCAGGGCCGTGCAAAACAACAATGACTTGTGGCAGGCAGAAATAACTACAATAGGAAAGCCAGTTAAGTATAGAGTGGATACTGGTGCAGACGTCACGGTGATACCGGACAGATATTTCAAGAAAAAATCACCTCTAATAATAAAGAAAACAGAAGTTATTTGGAGCAGGACACCAGGAACTACTGGTAAAAGGAGTAGTCAGGGCTACATTGGCTACCAGGAATTCATCTTCAGAACAGGATTTGTATGTCGTCACAAACCTGAATGAGCCTTTGTTAGGTAGACCAGCTATAGAAGCTTTGAAACTCTTGGAGAGAGTGAACGAGGTGAAGAAACAAGGTATACCTTCGGAATATCCAGAGTTATTTACGGGGTTAGGAAAGATAAACAAGCCCTACAAGATCACACTGGATCAAGAAGCAAAACCGTTTTCTGTTGCGGTTCCTCGTCGACTACCCCTGCCACTGAAAGAAAAGGTGAAAGAAGAGCTTGAGAAGATGGTGGAGCAAGAAGTTATTGAGCCAGTCTCTGCAGTCTCTGAGCCAACAGACTGGTGTGCCCCCATTGTTGCCATTCCCAAGCCAAACGGAAAAATCAGGTTATGTGTAGACTTCACCAAGTTGAATGAAAGTGTGCAAAGAGAAAATTTTCCCCTACCTACAACAGATAAGCTGCTAGCTCAACTCTCGGAATGTGAATATTTCAGTAAGCTAGACTGCAGTAGTGGATTTTTTCAAATACCACTTGAGAAAGAGTCACAAAAGTTAACAACTTTTATAACACCATACGGGAGGTACTGCTTCAAGAGATTGCCTTTCGGAATCAGCTCAGGACCAGAGGTCTTTCAAAGGGAAATGACCCAAATCTTGTCGGCCATTCCTGGAGTGGTGGACGACATTGACGATGTCTTGATCTGAGGAAAGGATAAGGAAGAACACGACAGCAGACTTCATATGGTACTTCAAAGAATGAAGCAAGCAGGAGTCACCCTAAACGAAAAGTGTGTTTTTTGCGTCAAATCCATCAAATTCCTCGGACACATATCCAAAGAAGGCATACAAATAGACCCAGAAAAGGTAGAAGCCATCACAAAGTTCCTGAGACCAGAAAAGATAGCCAATGTCCGAAGTTTCCTAGGCATGTTGAATCACATAGGAAAGTCTGCCCCCAGTCTGGCAGAAAGGACAAAGCCATTGAGAGATTTTCTAAGAAAAGAAACAATATGGACCTGGAATGATCCACAGGAACAAGCATTCCAGACATTAAAGAAACAGATGAGTACAGCACCTTTACTCATTCATTACAGTCCTCAAAAGCCAACAAAGATATCAGCTGATGCATCATCCTATGGCATGGGTGGTGTACTGATGCAAAAAGAAGGCACAGATTGGAAACCAGTCTATTATGTGTCAAGGTCCCTTACAGATACAGAGCGAAGATATGCACAAGTTGAAAAGGAAGCCTTAACAGTTACTTAGTGCTGCGAGAGATTTGCAGACTTTTTGGTGGGATTGCCAAAATTCCTGATTGAAACAGATCACAAACCACTTCTTCAACTGATGAAAACAAAGCATCTGGATGAATTGACCCCTCGCATTCAGAGATTTAGGATGAGAATGATGAGGTTTTCCTACAACATCGTCCATGTACCAGGAAAGAATTTGGTAACAGCCGATGCATTGTCAAGAGCTCCGGTGGGAGTGCCAAGTAAAGAAGATCATCAAATGGAAGAAGAGTGTGAGTTACACATCAGATCTGTCCTGGAAGGATTCCCAGCAAGTGACAAGAAATTACAGAGCAGCAAGATGCAGACGAAATCTGTAAGAAATTAAAAGAATACTGTCAGTCCTCATGGCCAGCGACAACCAAAGTCGATCCAGTTATGAAGCCATATTGGATGTCGAGAGACGAGCTGACTGTGGAACAAGGTTTGCTACTATACCAGTGCCGAATTGTTATTCCCACAATATTAAGACAGGATATTTTGAAACGTCTTCACGAATGACACCAGGGGATAGTCAAGTGCAGAGCGCTGGCTCGAAGCAGTGTATGGTGGCCTGGACTGTCACAGCAAATCGAAACGTTGGTTACAAACTGTCCAGACTGAAAAAGAAAGAAAGGTCAGCCCAGAACCATTGAAACTGACAGTCACTCCAGACCACCCTTGGCAAAGGGTGGGTATGGATCTTTTTGTGTGGAAAGGTCACACATATCTCCTAATAGTAGACTATTACTCGAGGTGGATTGAGATAGCTCATTTAAGAGAGCCTACTGCTTCAAATGTCGTAGAACATTGCAAGTCAATTTTTGCTAGATATGGAGTTCCTGAAATCGTCGTCTCAGACAATGGATTCCAGTTCGTTGCACACGAGTTTCAAAAGTTCTCACAGTACTATGGTTTAACGCACCTGAAGAGCAGCCCTCTACATCCTCAGAGTAATGGAGAAGCTGAAAGAGCCGTCAAAACTATCAAAATGTTACTGAGTAAGTCTGATGATCCTTACTTGGCTCTCATGAACTACCGCTCCACTCCTTTACAGCAAGGACAGAGCCCAGCAGAACTTCTAATGGGTAGGAAAATCAGGACAAGAGTGCCCATTTTCCCAGAAAAATTGGTCCCAAAGGGGGGTGAAAGGCAGGTGTTCAGGAAGATTGACGCAGCTTTCAGGCAGAGGCAGAAACAGGATTACGATCGAAGACATTGCGCCAAGCCCATGTCAGACTTGTCAAAAGGACAGCCAGTTTGGGTTAAAACCCCAAGGGATGCCAAGGCTACGGTTGTAGACAGATCGAGAGACAGATCATACCTCTTGAAAACGGACAACGGCTTGAAGGTTCGAAATCGTCACCAGATCCGGCTGAGGACGGAAGGCGACGACAGTAACCATCTCGTGATCCCTAGAGAGTCTTCTATGTTGCCTCACCATCAGCCAGAATTACCAGCAGAGTCACTAGAGTCAGACACAACCCTTCATGATACTTCCACTACGTCTGACTACATAACGAAGTCGGGACGCCATGTCAGGCCTCCGCAGAGACTCGACTTGTAGGCGAAGTTTCTGCTGTGTACAGTGTATATAAGGTTTCAGAGTTATAGTTTCAGTTTCTGGTTGATGCATTTAACATTTTGAATTGTTCTTGAAATTGTTTGTGAGGGGGATGTGATGTCAAGGGACATGACTCTTATTTTTACTGTGGGGACAAGATAATTAAGGGAGTGGCACGCCCTTGGATGACGTCAAGGGTTCCGCGGGAAATAGGCTGAGATCGTCTGAGAGACTCACCGAGATATTCAGTCGGACTCAGGACCACGACGAGGCAACACTTATCTTGGACGGGGGCCCCCTGACAGACCCGACTCATCGGACTGCCAGGTAACTTTACATAGATCTAACTACTTGCTCGAGCGGATGAGGCTACGAACTAACAAACAACAGTTTATTCTGACAAAAAAGTTCGATTGTAGGCTTCTATTTCTAGCTAGAGGAACACTCACGGGGACTGGATCTGCTGCTTGTTTTATTTTTACCGCTGCCACCATATAATGGTAGGGTATAGATTGTGAACAGTGTGAGACAATTCATATATGTTGAGTGAGTAGCCTAGTTTAGGAAGGAAAAGTAGGGCGATTCAAGGAATGCGCATGGGTAGTATGAGAGCCGTTAGTTACTCTTAGTTAAGTTTCATATTGTAGGCAATCATATCACATACAGGATACGTTCCTTCCACATTTTCATAAACTGTTGCTGATAAGCAAAATGTCCATTGATGCAAAATTATAAAGTTGATATAGATTCTAGTATTGTAATATATCCATCCCTCAATAACATAAGTGTTTTACTTTCTTTAAAGTCTTTTGCATAGACAGGACAGGGGTCTCTTGTGGCCTAGAAGTTAAGGTGTTCGCTTTTCATTCAAAAGGTCGAATCCGGGTAGCGATGGAAAATTTTCTTCTCTCAAATTTTTTCCTTTCACATCTTTTCCTGCTCTCTAACAATGTTCTTTTGTCTACTTTCGTGTCAACTTTCTGCCCCCTCCCCCTCCTCTAGGCTCCTGACTCTTTCTGCAGCTTTTCTACTGCTTCTGCAGGGCTCCTTCTTACTGCTGTCTTTCAGCCACACCTCTGATCTTCTGGTAGGAAAGATCTACACCTAGCCTGCTCGGACAAGGGCGATAAATCTAGGAGGTCCTGTGTGTAAGTTGCGCGCGTTAAAGATCCCTTGGTTGTCCTAAATCAAAATTTCCTACCACCTGAAAATCTTATGACGTGTCCGGCGCGCTCACTTGACCGTATGCAGTTGCGAGCGCTGTAATACACTTACCATATAAAAATTTAAAAGCTTGTCAGGAAAGGAACTTCTTCTCAGCTTGTTGTACCTCAATGCCCTGGTCTTTATGTGCTTGGTGTGATTTTAAGTTCATAGCCCATATCTTTGGAGATTATTTTTTACTACTTCCCTATATCGCAAAAACCAGAAGAAGATTTTAGACCTCTATAGGATAAAGTGTTTCGCTTTATAAATGTAGATATATTGCTCATATTTTAAAAAAAAAAATTTTCTTTATTCTTTTTCAGCTAAAGTCTTTAGTCATTGGGGTAAGTAAGACTCCAATATTTAATTCAACCTTACTGTTTATTTTATACAATCTTTCAAAAAGAGATTGATATTTATTGGGTCTGGGTGATGAAAATCTTCAGGAATGTTAGTTTATTACATTCATTGTTTATAAGTCGAACCAGTTAAACTGGTTTCAATTATCACAGAATTTTCAATGCAAAGCGGGTAAATCATCAGACGGACTCCCAGACTTAACTGTTGTTTATACATGTTCACTGATTTTCAGTCTTCTCACAAACCAGCCCATATAAATTTCTGTGCTCAGTTCGATGTAACTCTGAATTAAGTTAATAAATGCTTGATTTTGATTTTATCTTTGACACTCTGATTTTATAAAATCTTTACACCTAGCCTTCTCGGACAAGGGCGAAAAATCTCTGAGGTCCCGTGTGCAAGTTGCGCACGTTAAAGATCCCTTGGTGGTCCAAAATCGAGAGTAGGCTTCGGCCACCACCTGGGCAAAATTAAAAATTTGCTAGCAACTGAAAATGTTTACTGTGTCCCTCCCGCGCGCTCATACGACCGTAAGCAGTTGTGAGTGCTGTAAAAACACCCCAAAAGAACTGATTTTACTCATATTACAGTCTTTAAATTTATTGTCACAGAAGTTTTTTTCATAGGATGCTTTTTTCATAACTAATTTTTTTTTTTTACCTTCAGATTTATGTGGATCCGAATAATCCAGAGGTAAGAAAAGTTTGTGTGCAAATATATGCAGTAATAATCAACTGTTTTGAAATCTTTATAATTTTACTTCTAAAATATGTAGATGCAAGGATGGGCACAATCACCGTTTTTCTTGAATTAAGGAAATTGGTTTGGAAGATTTGTTGTTTGCTTTAATAGAGAATCTCACAATCTTTATTTTTGTTATGTGATATATATTTCCTCTCCAAGAAAACGTTTTAAAGAATATTGTTCAAGTCCTTTGTGGTCTTATATCCTAAGAGTGCGTATGTTACTTTATTTCATTTACTTTTACTTTTTCATCCTCTATTGCAGTTAAGTATCATGGGGAGATATAGTTTTCTATGGTAGGCCAGCTGTAGCTCTTTCAATAGGGATGTTATAATCTCTAAGGGTTCCCTTGACTCCCTTAATCCATCTTTTGCCTGGCCTTCCTCTTCATTCATAGCCTGCGTATACAAACATTGATGAACTGAAATTGACGTTAGATGTTATTGTTGTTGTTGTTTTCAAATCCCTTTAGCTGCGAGCATTGACGTTAGATAAAATACATTATTTACTTTTTATACTTGACTCTGTTCTTACATTTTCAGACTGTAATCGAGTCCTACACCTTCAAGTTTTCATATCAAAATAGTGGAGCAGTGGACATTTACAGGTTTGTTTTTCTGAGACCAACAGCATTAATGAGTTCATTATACCTTTCTTGGGTCTTTGAAAATATTGCTTGTTTGCTTAAATCTTTATAATGTGTCTTTCTAGCTCTGGATCTTTTACTTATTTCACAATTGTGCTGACCAAAGCATTTCTTTAAAAAAGTGGTTTATAAACGTCCAAGTAAGGTCAACAAGCTAGAGACTAGGAATTATTATTTTTTAGTGAGGTCTGCTTTGTCTAATTAGTTTCTAGTATCTATAATTGGATATAGGATGTGTATTGACTAGATATTGCTGTGAAAAGTGAACAAAAGTTGACAAGGCTATAGCTGTCCAACCAATGTAAAACCTCAATGTAGCATGTATTCTTTAAGCCCTCGTAAGAACCCCTGAACTTGTCTAGCCTTTGAAGTGGTATCCTTAGCAGGATAGACAGCATGAAATTTGTACTACGTGATTTTGTGTTCTCACAGCCTCACACGTGGATGTCTGCACATGTGTGCACACACACACACACACATACACATGGATGCATTCACATGTGCGCTCACACACACACACACGCACACACACACACACACACACACACACACACACACACACACACACACACACACACACACACACACACTTATAGGGGATATATTAAATTTCTTGTATATTGTCTAGAAGTCTAGGATCTGTTGGACTTGATTTTAAAAAAAATAGATTTGTTATTTATGTCTCCTCAGAAATGACAGGAAAATCTCTTGTGCTTACTCTGCTGACGAGACAAAGAAGGCTACAATCAGACTGCTGAGAACACTAATCGTTCTTACAAATACACTCACTTCATTACCTGACAAGGTCATGATGACCATGAAGTTGTTTTACTATGATGAAGGTAAATTTGTTTTATCCTGCTCAATTTCTTTTTTTAAACCTCATTCCATTAATTCAAGTGAACAGCTGTTAATTAATTGGAAAATAAGATGAGTTTCTTATTGCCAAAGCTGACGATAAATACTTCAAGCCCTTGGCTGATGGTATGCTTGAAACACTTGAATTAGTCTTGCTGCTATTGATGTTTTTCCATTTGTTGTGTTCACCTCATATATATTATAGAGAACCCCCCGGGGTGGTGCCACTTACTGAAGTGTCTTTAGGCCATTCCCAAAGGGGGGGACATTTCTCGTTCATGCACTGTAGAATTGTAAATGGGCTGATTCATCAATATCACCCTCATAACTGTGCCTGATCTTCAACAGGGAACTGCTGCTTTTTCTTTCCTAATCCTTACTATTGTCATTTTTCTTCTACTTCTTTTGTATGTTTGTCACACTCTTGTGACCCATTTTTTCTGGGATGCCTTGAAAGTTGAAACAGACTTTGTGCTGTTAATGCTAGAGAGGTGAGCAGAGTAAGCCTGTTTCCCTGTAAAGACTTCTCTGTTGACATCCACCTCTTAGTGCTCATATGACCATATGCAGTTGCGAGTGCCATAAAACCTCTACTTAATAAATACTACTATTATGGAGAAAGTTTTCAGGAATATACCATATAGAATTATTAAAACTTAAATAGAACAATTGTGCAATGTTTTATTAAATTACAATGATTTTTCTTGTCTTTTGATGTAGTTATTAGTACTCTTTCTTCATTTTATACTCCTTTCCAGTAACACCCGCTGATTATGAACCTCCTGGTTTCAAACCATCATCTGATGATGCCTTTGTTTTCCAAGATGATGCTACAAACATAGCGATTGGATCTGTTTCAACCGTGAGTTATATATAGGCTTATACAGTCGAACCTGCCCTGACGGCCACCTCTATAAGACGGCCACCTGTACAAACAGACACTTTCCATTTCCCCCCTTGCGTTTTTTCTATATAATTTAACTGTGTAAAACGGGCACCTGTTCAACGTGGCCGCGACCACCATATTTCAACACACAACCCCTATCACACTAAGCAATAACACCTGTCTTAGACGGCCACCTTAGTGACTCCATTACGCTTTGTCATAAATTAAGCATTGGCTCCTGGCGTTGTAGTACATGTGTTTGTTTTACCATAGCACTTGGTCCTCCTTGTCTGACACATTTAGTTTTATTGTCACCCGTGCACAAAAGCAGCAACAAAAGAAAAGAAA